GTAACTCTACCCCTCCACCAAGCCAATATCATAGGGCCTGCATAATCTTCTCAGTATATATGCGTTTCTAATAATATTTCTCCATCATTGATATCATTACCCAGGGATACTATAACACTACACAAGTTGTTTCTTCCTACATCATTCTGTGCTTATATGTGTTACCCTTAAATTGGTTTTATATACGGAAGCCACAGATGTTTTTAAAACTCTCGATCTAACCTTTGTACTCACATCAAAGTATTTTTCTGCCAGTCCATTGACTGTACCAGGCTTTTTCTTCAACTAAGTTGTTCCTTAAAGGAACACCACTGAATCCTCACATTGCTCTCTACAACCCAAATTATACTCATTCCCTTTTCTCTAGCTTCAAATATTATTTTTAAGGAAAGCCTTTCCAATGTCTTAAATAATAATCTAATGATTCTGTTTTTCTGTTCTTTCTTCATAACCTTTAAGATTTTTAGTTTGTACGTAGGTGTGTCTAATGGATATTTATTCTCATTAGAATGCAAGCAGTTAACACTCAATGAAGTCAAAATTTGCCCACACTTGGCTCATCATTTCATCCTAAACCAATATCCCAGCAAATTGCCAAATTATACTACCTGCCAATAGCTGTTGTCAAGTTAATAGTTATAAACATTGTAAATTATAGGGGTAAATTGTAGCTTGCTAATCTTACTGAGCTTCAGTTTCCTTGTACAATTCAATCAATAGATCCCATAGTATAAGAAGGAAAATGCACATTACATGGTTCCTTGTAAATTCCAGACCCTTGATAAATAATGGTTATTATAATTTTAAAGTATCTGTCTTACTTCCTTACTCTTTTCCCTCTAATTTTCATGATCTCAAAACAAGGAAATATTTTATAGCATAGGTTCAGGATACCTAACAGTCCCATTCCACAATTTGTCACACCTTAGTCCCATAGAGCAGTCCAGCAAACTCGGCTACTAACATTTCTTTCATAGGATGCATCTTGTCATATAGCAGTTTGTATGCGGTCATCCTATTCCTTTTAACGTGCCCAAAAGTATACACACAAATACTGAAATAATTAGTTCTGACATTCTAAGTGTAAAAATTAAACAAATTCACAACAAAAGAAAACTTTTAACTCACCAGATTTTAAATGCTACAGATACTCTAGCAAGTACTGAAATGATACTTTCCAAATTAAACAAACTTTAATCTTTGATTAGGAGTCCTTTGATATTTTAAAATTTCATTCAGAATTTTTTAATAGTATATTTTTATGCAAGCCTCCAGTGCTAAATTCACTAAATTAGTTTCTTTGGTTGGGTGGTTATCCTTTTTAAACTTAAGTTCCTAGAATTTTAAAGATTTATTTATCTGGAAAGCAGAATAGGAGAAATCAATACTCCATTTACTGCTTCATTCCCTAAATGGCTACAATGGCCAGAGCTGGGCTAATCCAAAAAGCTGGGGACCAGGAACTCTGTCTCTCACATCAATGCAAAGGCCCCAGGCCTCAGGCCATCCTCCAATACTTTCTAAGTAGCTTCATCAGACCTGGAGCAGCCCAGCCAGGACTGAAATTTTTTTTTTCAGTCCAAGGAATTTTACCCACTAGCTATTTTCAGCTTAGCATATTATCTTTTATTTGCTGTTACCACTTTTGGTGGGAAAATAATTTCTTTCCAAAATAATTAATATAATTTTACTTGAAAATAGTTTGTATTAAGTATATATATCGTACATTTTATAATTTCTAAGAAAGTGCTGGTGACAAAAAATAAAAACATCAGGCTAGTCTGATGGAAATTTGCATGTGGACAAGCACAGATATGAACAAATTCAGAGGCCTACTGGAGTCAGGCCATCACTGCAATTCTGTTTTCATGGTTCCACTTTAGTATTCCATGTATCATTCTATGCTGAATGACTAATATACTACGTATTTATTGGCATCTCTATTACTATGCTACACCTTTGAAAATACTGTAACTGAAAGTTACTGTTTTTACATTTAAAGTTTCTGTAATGGAAAGAAGAGCTTGTGAACTATAAACAATATTGATTTCCATTTAGCACATTGAGTACAAGCAGATGGGCCCGTTAATACTGCACAGTTATTCCAGGCATGATGGTTGGGATATGCAATTTTTTAAATGAATGATAATGTTGAAGATGGTGGTACCTGATTTAATAAAATAGCATGAAGACCTTAACAATAAAATAACCTAGTGTGAAGCTCAATATCTGATTGCAGCCTTTCAGCTGGGGAAGTGGAGGCCTGAATTTTGCCCACATGGGTAAATGCTCCTTTGAAGCAGTTGGGCGATGAATATTTGCATCCATCAGGATAAATTTACTGCAGTACCTGTGTGTGGCCAGAATATCTGCAGCAGGTTTTTTGTTTGTTTGTTTGTTTGTTTGTTTTTTCCTGGCTATGATAGGCCAACTGTTAAAATGGCCCCTGAAGATTCAAACCCTTCTATAGTCCTCTTCTACAGCATGAAGGAGGACTTTGTATATATGAGGAACCATGATTACATTACATGACACAGCTGACTTCCAGAAACACAAGAAAATACAAACTAAAACTTCTTCCATCTCTAGTCACCCACAAAATATTACAGAATAAGCCAGATTTGGAGGCATGTTAAACCCAATGGTGAAGAAAAAACAATCATTTTTATTAACTTTTTAAAAAATATATTCTCATATTTTACAAAGCTCCAATGCTTTGACCCATGCTCCAATGCTTTCCCAGGCCATTAGCAGAGAGCTAGATGTGAAGTGGAGCACCGGGGACATGAACCGGTTACCATATGGGATGCCACCACAACAGGGTGGAGGATTCATCTGTTGTGCCACTGCATCAGCTCCAAACGCTTTCAAACAAACAAAAAAATAAATCTAACAACAAAAAGCAATTGAGCAAGGCTCAATCAGAAATAAATATTCTGATTTACTTAAAAGAACACCTAATACTGTCTCAACCCAGATGTTTCGAAGAATGGAACTTGCATTATTTTTAACATATTGTTTACCCAATACTATGTCAATTAATTCCATAATGTTTTATATTGATACTGAGGCCTTGTTGGGGCTTTTAACTGACCGGATCTTTACTCTGTTAGATCTATCTTCAGACCATAGAAGGTCTCCCCAAGAGGCCACTGAACTTATCTGGACAATAAGACGCTGAACTTTATGCTAGGCATGTGTTTGCAAGCAATGAATCTCAACTGAACTTGAACTATGGTTATGCAACAAGGTGGAGGAATCCACCATGGGGGGAGGGGTATGGGAGGGGTGGGGGGAATCCCCAGCGCCTATAAAACTGTACTACATAATACAATGTAAGCAACAATAAAAAAAAAATAAAAAAATAAAAAAATAAAAAAAAAAATTAAAAAAAAAAAGAACACCTAATAAAGCCATCATTGAAATGAAAAAAATGGGGGAAATGGACTGCGTTTAAGGAAAGCAAAGATTTTGTCACACTAGAAAAAATGTTAATTGGAATTCAGTGGGTTAACAACAACAAAAATGTATGCACACATGTTGATTAAAAAAATCTTTGGTTAAAATTAGACAGTAGGGAATGGTAATAACTTTGAGAAAAAAATGCATTATAATTGAATTTTCACATCAAGAAATTCATAGTAAAGCTATGTGAAATGATGGAAGCATTAGCATCAAAGTCCAGAGTAAGACACAGAATAGTGGTACCAGTTCTGCTGGTCAAACATGGACTGGATTGCATAGCTGGCATACACAATAGGAAACTGCATACTAAGTCATTGTAAAATGAAAGTAAAATGGTAAGATGATCCCCTATTTAAAAATTCTACCGTAATCACAAAGCAGAATATTTACATACATAACAAACGTCAAACAGTTAGGAATCCCATTATTGCAGAATGAGTAATCTAATCACACAAGACATACGTGTAATGCAAAGCATACTATTTTGAAGGGGCAGGAGCAGAGAAAAAAATTAAACTCTTACTGAAGTCAATAGATAAATTTCCTGATGAAATACTATATTTGTTCCTGGTGAAGAGAATGTTATACAGACTCCCATTCTCCTTAAATTATTTACAGGTTAGTGCCTTACCTGACAGTGGTTGCCTCCAGTCAGCAGAGAAGAGGTGATTCACAATCTGTAAGAAATCAAGGTAAGCCATTGCTTAAGTACTGAGACATCATCCACTCCAGAAGGGACCCCACAAAGTTACCCCTCAATTAATCTTGGGAGGCTCTAGGCATTTGCTGGGGTCAGGATCCATCTTACTTCCTACTTAAGATTCTGAGAAATCTTTGATCTAATGCTAGTGAACTCAGTTCACAGCTGTGGAAGAACTAATGAAAAGACTTGGTGTGAGTTCTCGAGGAACCCTTTCAACCCAGGGGATTAATCAAGGCCTTTACTGTAGGGCTGGGAAGGCCAGATGGGCATGACTGGCAGTGGAAGTGAATAATTGACTTCTGCCTCACTTGAATGTGGGGCACAATGAGGCCTTGACCTCAGAGTAACCAGAAGGCACAGCTCTCATACCAACAGATACCAAGGTGACACTCCTTCTAGAACAGATGTGACAGAACCAGAAATCCACGCTATTCTTCCTCAGCTACCCCACTGTCAACCTGGGCGAGTCTCCAAAAGCATCCTTTCATTTCCTCTTGAATATATGAAATGCAAAGTTATGTTCTGAACATGGCCATGCCAAGTCAGTAGAGGGATGACTCAGAGCACCCATCAGTAATGAAGCTTATGTGTTGAGTTAGAACTGAGGCAACAAGCTCCCACAGAACTGAGCTTCTTTGTGTGTGTTCCTGAAAGCATTATCTTTGAGGTAACCAGCAGAAGTAGCCATTCTTGAGGCCAAGGCAGAATCTCCCCATTGAGGCTCTGCACACTGTTTCACATTTCTATGAACAATATTGCATAATCTTTCTTCTAGGGTGCCCTTTTCAACTGTACTGCTTCACCAGTTCCTGCTATAACTAACCAAACCATCATGCCCCGAGGGCAGAAGAGTAAGCTCCGTGCCCGTGAGAAGCGCCGCCAGGCCCGTGGTGAGAACCACACCATGTCTACTGCTGAGACACCTAGCCTTCCGATGGCACCAGAGACAGTCCCATCCACTTCCAACACTACTGAAGCTTTTGCAGGCATGAATTTAGATGAAGGTGCCAGAAGCCCAAGAGAAGAAAGACCAAATATCCCACGGGGCATGGAGAATATCCGCAAAGATCCTTTAAACAAAAAGGTCGCTTTGCTGGTACAGTTCCTTCTGCAAAAACATCAAAATAAAGAGCCAATTACCAAGGCAGATATGCTGAAGTATGTTATCAAAAAGTACAAGGGCTACTTTGATGAGATAATCAAGAGAACCTCTGAGCACTTGGAACTGGCCTTTGGTGTTGATTTGAAGGAAGTAGATCCTGTGAGGCAGTGCTACACCCTTGTTAGCAAGCTAAACCTCACCTGTAACGGTGTGCTGATTCCAGACAGCATGCCCAAGACCGGCCTCCTGATGGTTGTCTTGAGTGTGATCTTCATGAAAGGCAACTGTGCTCCTGAAGAAGAAATATGGGAAGTATTGAATATGATGGGAGTGTATGCTGATAGAAGGCATTTCATCTATGGAGACCCCAGGAAGATCATCCAGGAAGACTTCGTGCAGCTCAAGTACTTAGACTGCCGGCAGGTGCCCAACAGTGACCCCTTACAGTATGAATTCCGGTGGGGTCCCAGAGCCTGTGCTGAAACCACCAAGATGCAAGTCTTGGAGTTTTTGGCCAAGATCCATGATGCTCACCCCACGGATTTCCCAATCTGGTATGAAGAAGCTTTGAAAGATGAGGAAGAGAGAGCCCAAGCCAGAGTTGCAGCATTGGCTCGTACTTCTGCCATATTTGCCAAGTGAAATCCAAAGTTTTGTTACTTTGCCTTGTTGATTTAACAGGTTAGTGAATGTTCTAAGAGTGGAGGGCCATGATGGGGTTGTAGGAAATAGTGTGTGTCGTGTTGGTGTTCCTGTGCTATTCTGCTAACTTTGGGTTTTACCTTGATTTTTTTCTCTAGGCTATATTTCACAGTTTTAAGTATGGGGACAAGAGTTTCCTTTGTGGAAGAAGACGGCAGACAACATTCCACGTACTATGTGGCCAGGGTCTGTATGGAGGGTACATAATGTATATTATTTTTGTGTTTTTTCTTTTTTTTTTTTTTTTACAAATGAGTACCTGTGAATCTAATTTTTCTCTTTTATGTGCTTATTTCAAGTATTTCTCAGAATAAAAGGTTTAGGTAACCTTAAAATATAAACTTATTATTGACTTTGTTTACAAATGTATTGCTGTTTGATAGGCTTAATAGAAGTTTTAACATTTTTTTAAAACAAACCGGCAAAGTTTAGTTTATGCTTAAGGAATCAGAGAAAGGAAACATGACAGGGAAATAGATATTTCCTTGGAAATATGATAGATTTTGTAACAAATATTTAGAGAGGAAAAAATAATGGTACAAAATAAAGGATGTTTTGTTCTTGTGCCCTAATTCATTTTAGGATGCTGTACACAAAAGTTACCTGCCTGGATTTAGTTAGCTTACTAAAAATCTTTAAGAAAAATAAAATGCTTTTGAGATAGAATTCATGCTCATTGACTTATTCCTTTTTCACTTGATTAAATATCTGATCCTTAAAAAGGTAGTTCGCAAGCCCGGTGCAATAGCCTAGTGGTTAAAGTCCTCACCTTGCATGCACCGGGATTCCAAATGCACACTGGTTTTAATCCCAGCAGCCCTGCTTCCCATCCAGCTCCCTGCTTGTGGCCTGGGAAAGCAGTCGAGGACGGCCCAAAGCCTTGGAACCCTGCACCCACGTGAGAGACCCAGAAGAGCTCCTGGCACCTGGCTTCAGATCAGCTCAGCTCTGGCTGTTGCGGTCACTTGGGGAGTGAACCATTGGACAGAAGATCTTCCTCTCTGTTTCTCCTCCTCTGTATATCCGCCTTTCAAATAAAAGTAAATAAAGTTTAAAAAAAATAAAAAGTTAGTTTGCTAGAAATGAAGCTAAGCTACACAGTACCCAGATCCTGCTTAGAATTTTACAGTCAGCGAGTAGTTATGTTCCAGGGAAGATGGTGAAATGCCTTCTATGTGCTGAAGGACAAGTAAGAAGAAGGGATACAAGAAAGGGGAATAGATGGGTAGGGATTGTACAAACTGAGGGGGATGGGTGTGTTCGGATGTTTGGCTGAAAAAATAGGGTGTGAGTTCCAAGAAGAAATGCCCTTTTATGCTTTGGAAAACTGCAAGTCCCTCCATTGGACATACAGGCAGTCCTTACCAAAGGATTTCACACTAGGGACTCGATTAACCACAGATTTTGGGAAAACATATTTGTACTGAACATGTGCAGACATTGCTCCTTGTCTTTATTAAGCAATACAATAAGACAATCTACAATGTTTTTATGTGATATGATGCATTAAAATCGGTCTGAGTTAAAGTTCAAAGGGAGATATTCATAGGTTATAACCAAGTACTACACCATTGAGCATCTACGGAATGTGGTATTCAAAGAGAGTGAGAAAGACATCCTCTATCTACTGTTCTTCTTGCCTTCCCAAAAAGGCCGCCACAGCCAGGGATGCAGTAGGCCCACGTGAGAAACCAGAACACCATGCACATCAAGAGCCGACACAATGAGGCTAGCTACCACTGCCTTCAGAGGCATATCCCAAGGGATTCTGGATTTTCAGCAGAGGACTCAAACTGGCACTCTGATGCTGGGGTTGATGTTAGTGGCCACAACTCCAACTCCAATGACTACATTCCTAATTTAAGTTTTGTGTTGGAATATGAAGCACTCCAAGCAGAGGCCAGACACAAAAATTGTGTGCCCTTATATAGATGGACAAAACCATAGAATGGAAACCTAAAGCGTTCGTTTCTAATTATCAGTAAGTCTGAGGAAATGTTCCTTACGGGACACAGGGGAATGATGCCCCATGGTTGTATTGTACAGCCTTAATACAATTTACATTTATATTCACATTAAGTTGTTTTGATACCAGTTTGGAAAGCTTCATACTTGATGATGAAAAGAGTGAAAATTGGAGTGTTCTGGACACAAAGTTTTCTGGAAAGAAGACAGTTGTTGCTGATCTAAATTTTAGGATCTTCAGTTGTATTCAATTGGGGAAGATTTCTTTGCCTAGAAAGCAATAACTCATCATCAAGTAGGAAAATTCTTAGTTTACTTGCTAAGCAGCATTATTGGCCAATCTGGTATTAGATATCCTAGAAAGATGAATACACTGCTGAATTAGTTTTTAAAAAAACCTCTTCAGAGGGGAGTGTGGTACTTGATAAATTCCTGATAAAATAACTGTGATGAATGTAGTTCATTAAACATCCAATGTATTACAATTGTTCTCCCAAGTATTTCATACCTGTTATACATATTCTAACACCCCTACAAGACAGAGTCTATCTAACATAATTTTCCCCATTTGTACTTTTATTAAATTCATATAACTGGCCAGTGACAGAGCTGGAACTAGACCCCTGGTGTTTACAACCCATACATTTCTGCTTTTCCTCATCTGAGGAACATCTGTTGTCTTTTAATTCATTATTCTCACTATTCCATATTGTATTGCACACAATTAAAGAGAAACAACTTTAGCCAAAGCACTAAAAGCACAGCTAAGGGAGGAAAGTAAATATGAGAATAAATCATAAATTATGGATTTTCTGTAAGCTCTATTTTCTGAGAATTCTGTCAGTAGTCCTGGGTATCCTTGAGAGTTGATTCTGCCCAAGACTAAGAGCATGCCATCTCTCCAGATGTCCCTCATAGGTCTTGTTTAACCATTTCACTTTCTCTGCATCTTTTTTTTTTAATTCGCTCTAAGATTTTTCTTTTTAATTGTTCACCTGTTTTTATTTGAAAATCAGAGCAGCAGTGCAGGGAGGGAGATGAGGGGTAGGGGGCAAGATTCCACCCACTGGTTCAAAAGTCTCCAAATGCCCACAGAAGTGGGAGCTGGGCCTGGTTAATACTGAATATGGCTTTCTCACATGTGTGGCAGTGAACCAGCAAATGGAAGATGCATTTTTCTGTCTCTCCTTCTCTTTAATTCCATTGAATTTGGAGAGTGCAGAAGATGGAAGACCTTCTCTCTCCCTCTGTCTCTGTAAAATCTGCCTTTCCAATAAAAATAAATATTTTTAATGGTAAGACTTTTTTTGAATTTTTAAAAAAGATTTACTTATTTTCAATGAAAAGTCAGATTTACATACAGAGACAGAGAGAGAGAATGAGAATCTTTCATCTGCTGGTTCATTCCCCAAGCAGCTGCAACAGCCATAGCTGAGCTGATCCAAAGCCAGGAACCAGGAACTTCCTCTTGGTCTCCCAAATCAGTGCATGGTCCCAAGGCTTTGAGCCATCCTCCACTGCTTTCCCAGGCCACTAACAAGGAGTGAGATAGGAAGTGGAGCAATTGAGACATGAACCAGGGCCAATATTGGGGAATTAACAAGGATTTAGCCACTGAGCCATAGCTTAGGACCATTATTTGCCCTTTAAGAGAGAAATAACTTACAACTACAGGATTTTTAAAGTAGATGCTGTAAGAAAAAAGAGATATAGAAACAGAGAATCGGATAAAGAAACTGTGGTGTATCTACTCCAAGGAATACTATACAGCCATTAAAAAGAACAAAATCTTCACATTAACAAAATGGTCCCTAATGGACACCATTATGCTTCGTAAAATAAACCAGTCCTGAAAGGACAAATAACTTATGTTCTCTCTGATCTAAGGCAGCTTTCATACAAATTAAACGATATACACATATATAGGCAATCAAACATACACCTATATCCTCATACGTGAACTGTATAATGGAGACTAGCATACAGGAAAGTAAAGATATGCTACAATACACATCTCTACTCCTGAATAACAAGAAGACTGACAATAAAACAGTTGAATATATTTTTAAAGTATAATATTAGAATTTCCATCTTTGTCTATACCTACCATGCCATGATATACTTAAATAGCAGAAGTTAAATTTATTGCTGTACCTAACAGATTATACCACTGTGATAATAAGAGTGGTGTGAAATGTTGGGAATAGGGAAGGAGACATCCCTATACCTACAAAAAACATGGAAAAATAATAATTGATTTTTGTAAATTCTTTTGCTGTGCCATTTTGTTTCCTAGGCTATCAGAAAATCATCTACACATTAAACAATTACAGTTATCTATCTCTGAATGATCTTGTCAATTTCCTTAAATTACAAGAAAATAGTTGGAGAGCCTCCCAAACCTCGAAGAATCCTCTGCTAGTCTGTAACTCCTGATCTCTATAAGCAAACACAAGAATAAAGGTTTTATGCATGGGGAACAGAGAGGAAGAAGAAATCATCATAGATCAAGTACTAAGAAAAAATACAGATAAATGGTAAAAAAGCAAAAAAAAAAAAAAGGGCTCAGAAGAACTGCAAAGTTATAAAATAAAAGAGGCTAACCAAACCATGTATTTATTTAGAACTTAAATCTAAACCTTGGCTAACCACCTTCATAAAATTTACTTTATTCCTTTACTGAAAATATAGTTCTATTACAAAGTAAGCATTTTTATTATCTTTGTTTTCTATTATTCTAATCAAAATCATTCCTTTTAATTGGACTCTCAACAGATATTACTACACATGGCCATAGTTCAGATACTCCAAGCAATGTATAAAATATAGTAATTTTCTTAACTGGCCTCATCCTAATTTTTTACAAAAAGAAAAAGAAAGGATATTCCTCAGTCATAGAACCTGTCAAATTCCTTGATTCCTGTCTTCACTGCCAGATTTCCTGTAAGATAATTAAGTATTAATAAAATCCTCTG